ATAACAGTACATCAAAATCAGTTAAAAAGGGCTTAACTCATCAGATGGATACATTGATTGATTGTTGGTTGCTTAACGTCCAGTGGGAAATATTTCATGCATGTTCAGGACGAGAACAAATTAACAATAAATACAATAGGTAGGTCTTGTAATAGAGGCCGGCCGAGATTGAGGTCGTGGGGAATTTCGACTGTCACTGGAAAATGAGGGTATATTGGATAGGTACAGAAATTAGGTCTTGCAACAGGCCACCTACGGACCCTTCATAGAACTGTTGCAAGGATTCTTAACGAGCAGAGAGCGTGGCACTCTCTCTACACGAGGCATCGGATTTAACGTCCCCATTCTGACCGGACGTGGCTGCGTACTTGATACATTCCGCACAGCCAAACGGACGCCCCACTTTGGCAAGGGTTTTACTGCCGGTCGGAAGAATACCTGTGATGACCATTATTCTATTTCCCAGTCAACCTGGGGAGGGGGGGGGGGGGGGCAGATGGATACAAAGCAGAAATAAATCTAACAAAAACACAGAGTTGACGTGGCAGGGTACTTATACATCCCCATTTACGTTTGAATATTTGCATAGTATATTTAAGATTGTATAAGTTTAACCTCCTTCAATCTGTTGATTGTTAAAAGTTTTGTATTGCTCATGTTTAAACTGTTACCGTTTAATTTTTTTTTACATTTACATTAGCAAATTACACGCAGAGGAGACAAAACGTCTGCATAGACAGTTTTTAACCTTTTTTGGGCTTATATCTTTTAGTAATTATAGAATAAGGAAAACTGTTCGCAATGACCATCACATTTAGTTGTTATTTCTCCCCTCCCCACCCCCCTTCTGTATTATGAATTCATGTATAGTATATATCAGTCGAAGAAAAATATGAAAGCTGTATTATTTGTTTTAAATGCCATAATTAGTTATCAAAGGTACCAGGCTTATTATTTGATACGCCAGGAGTGAGAACAAAAGTCTCATAGATCAAATACAACAACTTCAGCTAGTCTTAGAACACACTGTTCTGAAGAATATAACACCTTAAATGAGAGCTCATCGACCAAAAGTGAAAAATAAAGAAAACAAGTTTTATACAGGATTGCCATAATATACCCGTTTTATTTGGTTGGTGAACTTTGAGAACTGTATTTTACCATCATCCACTATTTTGAGATATTCTTCATTGGTTTTAATGAAGCCCCATACTGATCTCACATTTTGTTTTGGAGTTTCTCTCAGATTGGCTACTAATTTAATTGTTAGTGCTATCCCTCGGTTAGCCCACACATTTAATTAGACTAAGTTTATTTTTATTAATAAATTAATAAAACAAAGATGACCTATTTACTCACGAGACCAGAATGCTTGAAGAATGTCTTTTCTAAATGTGTTTCAGTAATTAATTGTACTGATTTTTATATTTCAATTTTACTGCTAGATCCCCCACCTACAGTAATTACCAGCATTACAATAGAATAAAGTTTTTTGTCAGTATTAACAAATGTAAATGAAGTTTTAGAGGTTATCAGGTTTGCAATCGACTCACAAATCCCGGCCACAAAAAAAAAATAAAAATATTCAGATTTGAGTTTTTAAAAAGGTTTGAAAAGTTATGTGTTTACGAAATTGTGACAAAGAGCTTTGCGTAATATATGAAGCTTCCTTCAATCTTGTTTTTAAAGAACTTTAAATGTGTTATGTTCGGTGAATTACCTCTTGCACCTGTTGCATTTGAGTCAAGACAGTGAAGTTGTGATACAGGGGTGTTGCAAACATTTGTTTATTACGTAAGATATAGAAAGAATTCTGAATGTATTGACTGAATGTTAAAACATGTAAATTAAATCCGTCAGATTGCTGCACATGTAAAGGCTGCCAGTGTCTTCGTCACAAAAGTGGCGATCCAGGTAATGTTATTACCATGTAAACTATGTATATTAATATTAATCCACTGCAAACGTAAGTGGATAGCGGGGACTGGCTTCAGTCAGCCTTGCCTTAGTATTAAATATAAACCAGTTGTGTTGTGCTGCGTGCAATCTGAAGACGAAACGTGTTAACGCATGCAGTGAGCAAACAAGAAGCAGCAAAAAGAGCCCCAAAAAATATTTAAAGATGACTTAATAATACTGACTTATGTATCATCTTCAGAATTATCTCTTTTAATTGGTAACCTATACAAAAAACTTACAATTTGGTTAGATAACATTGACTATGGACAGGTACGCGATGAATAGACCCTTATTTAGTTCCAAGATAACTGTTATTGGAAATTCCTTTACTGACTGTGTTAATGTTGTTTAATTCAATATAAAGAGGGCAATTTTCATTGGTTTTGCTTTTTTGTCATTTTATTTGAATTGTAACTTTTCCGCAGTATAGAATAACATTACTTTTCTGACCATTAATAAGATTCTTACTTCCTACGTATTCAAGGAATAATGTAGATGATAATGCACTGTGGAATCTCGGGGTCTCGGTGGCCGAATGGTCTAAGTAGTCGAACTTCTGTGGTTCTCTTCGGGCAGCCCGTCTTTCTTCCACAAAAAAGCACAAAGGTGGAGTAAAACACCAACCATTCAATCAATTACTGTCAAATTGTCTAACGAATTTATAGATTTTCAACATTCAACTTGTTTGAGAATTTGCTGATTTGATTCGCGCGTCATCAGGTTTCTGCTCGTATCTCTTCGTGAAAATAAGATGTGCTGTGATTGTCAACGAGACACTCTACACAAGAGACCAAATGACGTAGAAGGAAGCACTTATAGGTCACCGTACGACCTTCAAAAATTAGTAAACCCAAACATAAAAAAGCAAGCTATAAAAAGCCCCGAAATAACGCATGTAAAACGAAAAAACTAACGGCCTGATTTATGGTTAAAACAATAAACTAAAAACATATATGATATACAGTAACAAACAACAACCACTGAATTACAGGCTCCTGGCTTTATAGGACAGGCAAATACATAATTTGGAGGGGTTAAACATGTAAGCGAGTGGACAACTCTCCTCCTAACCTGGGACAGTGGTACAACATCACAACGATACCAAATGACGTAGAAGGAAGCACTTATAGGTCGCCGTACGGCCTTCAAAAATTAGCAAAACCCAAACCTAAACAGCAACCTATAAAAAGCCCTGAAATAACGCATGTAAAACGAAAACACTAACGGCCTGATTATGTTTAAAACAATGAACAAAAGACATATATGATATACAACAACAAACGACAACCACTGAATTACAGGTTCCTGGCTTAGGACAGGCAAATATATAATTTGGCGAACCTGGGATAGTGGTGCAACATCACTACGAGACCAAATGACGTAGAAGGAAGAACTTTTAGGTCACCGTACGGCCTTCAAAAATTAGCAAAACCCAAACCTAAACAGCAACCTATAAAAAGCCCTGAAATAACGCATGTAAAAAGAAAAAAAAACAAAAAAACAACGGCCTGATTTATGTTTAAAACAAACGAAAAACATATAATATACAGCAATAAACGACAACCACTGAATTACAGGTTCCTGGCTTAGGACAGGCAAATACATAATTTGGCGGAGTTAAACATGTAAGCGTGCGGCCAACTGTCCTCCTGACCTGATAAATTCCCAAATACTACCTCGTCAACAACAGGAAAACACGTCATAGCCACACAGTCAGCATCATGCAGCCACAATGCAACACCTCCGAATACGAATTCAGCTTCTACCCGAGAACAATCCGAGACTGGAACCATCTACCAGGAAACATCGCAACTGACACCGACTCGGACACTTTCAAGGAAAACCTCTGGTCACACTTCCATCCTGAGACCAGAGACACAGTGATGCTGTAAAGATCATCTTTGTTTTTATCCTGCACCGACCACAATTTTAAACTTGTATATATTTATTTATTTTTTCGGTTTTGTTGATCACAACTTTTACAGCACCTGCACTTGATGACACAGCATCAGCGTGATGGTTTTTTTTCCGTTGCTGATTAACGAAAGAAGAAGAAGACCTGGGACAGTGGTGCAACATCTCACGCAAGAACAAACTATACAAAATATCTTTTTTGTCGACTCATGCGGTCTATGTTTCCTGTCAAAAAAATTAATAGAAATTTACCAGTTTTCATTGAATTTTCGTGGAAATCAAAGTGAGTTATATTTGTGAGGTCTAGGATACACAATACGTAAATTTTCAACAAGACATCGTTGTATTAGCTATATTTCATTGTGATATTAGTCAATAAATCCTAATTTGAAATTGTAGATAGAGATAGGGGCCAATTTAGGGCCTTATCGATCATACTCCTTTGTGAGTTAATCTGTCGAGTTTACATATCAATAATCTCCTAATCGTTAGAGATCAGGTAAGACTTATTTATTCCAGCAAACATTCTTGACAGTGTTCCAATAATTATATAATCATATGGTTAAATGTCGTTTTAATTTGGTAGTATTGAAGACTTGACTTGCATGATTTATTTCTCTTTACTTCTGTTGGTGCATAGAAAATTAAAAAAACATAAATGCTTGCGATTCTACGGTTTTTATGCTCTCGGATTGAATAAAAAGAGACCAAACTGTACTTGTATGTAGATTTGGTCTGATTGCCAATGAGAAAACTATCCATAAAGATTAAAGAACGAAGAACATCAATGTATTTTACCGTAGGGCGTTTGAAAAAATCCCTTGTAGTAATCTAAACGGTCCCGGTGTGACAAAATGAGAAACGTCTATTCATAAGACGAACCCAACGACCTTTTGTATACTATAAAACGACTGCAGCGCTAGACCTTTTATTTGCACCGTTTTAGTTTACATCCTCAACTTTATATACATCTCCGGCGCTTGACTTTAAATTTATAGCTCTTTAACTGTTTGAGACAAATTTTCAGCGCTCCGTAGAAAGCAAGTATTTTAAAACATAAACTATTTTATTACTCTCATGTGCATTATTATTTTATGCCGAACATTGATAACTATAATTTTTTTCAGAGACAAGTTCTTTAAAAACCAGATGCAGCAGCTATAAGTAATATCAACTCTGTAGTGAAAAAAGGAATTGACAAAACACAACTGTAATTAAAGATTGCTTTGCCTGTGTGGCTAAATATCCAACAAGTGCTGAAAAAAAACTAATAAAAGAGCGTTTCAAGGGTGAAATCATGACAAAGAAAATAACACCAGTCTAGAGAAGACGTTGATAAGATACTACAATAGAAGAGTGAGTATTTTGGCAACACTATAGATTGAATGTATCTTTTATAACTGTCGCCTCTTTTTTTAGATGAATGTATATGGGGATCAAAGGCTAAAATTGCTGAGTTACAATTTTTATGGTTTTACTTAGATTGATTGTTGGTTGGTTGCTTAACGTCCAGTGGAAATTAATTTATGCAAGTTCAAGACGAGACCAAATAAGAAAAAAAACCCATTAGGTAGGTTCTGTAATAGAGGCCGTCCGGGATGAAGGTCGGAGTAATTTGGACAGCCACTGGAAAATAAGGGTATATTGGAAAGGGGCAGAAATTTAGCCTTGCAACAGGCCACCTACAAAACCCTAAAAGAAAGCGGGTCATTCTATTTACACGAGGCATCGGATTTAACGTAAACATTCTGACCGGACGGGGCTGTTTACTTGTACATCCCGCACAGCCAAACGGACGCCCAACTTTGGCAAAGATTTTACTGCCGGTCGGAAGAAGACCAAGAGTGACCATATTTCTATTCCCCTTCACCTTTGAGGGGAGGATTTACTTAGAAATGCAATATCAATCGTAATGTCACTTGTATTTGATATGGCTTAACATATGGGATGAAAACGGTTCCACTCCACCAAGAAAGATGCTGGAATTTGTATCAATCGAAATTTGAGTTATCTAAACCTGTCCTAATCTATTAATAACTGAATATTCAATATATTAACTTTCATTTTTTTATATTTTATCAACTGTGAAACAATTTGAAATTTAAAAAACCTACAGATAAAGATAATAGGAAGTGTTCTTGCTGCAGTATGAAACAAAATACAACCATTCCGAAATAAATTACTAAACGTTAAAGTGCCAAGGTTTAATTGCAAGATAAAAACAATAAATACTGTAGAACCTTTTGACGTAGAACAACTCAATTCACGTTTAAATGATGAAGTTTTAAAAGTCAGGTCAGTGCAACATATTAGACATAACTAAACTAAGAAAATAATTATATAAAAATTATCATACATGACAACTAATATTATCTGACTAAACCAGAAATATCTGATAAAACAATGAAAATCGGTTATAAAAATGAGGGAGGTATATTAAATTTTTTAATGTAAAATTTTATAAAACAAGTGAGAAACTAAATTAATAGGAAAATGGTGTATATAAAAATATTACATACAATCAAAAGGATTACAAAATTTAATATGCATAAAAATGTATGGGTTTTTATTTTTTGTTCTCGAGATCTTTTAATGGGGATAGGGTAGTTTGGGGTTGGAAAAGTATATATATTTCACAAATGACAAGTTGCATTGGACATGTTTGATTATACTAATTTCATACATACTCCTTTGTAAATATGTTCGAAAAGTTCTGAATAGAGACGTTGAAATTGTTCTGGTAAACGGGAGATAATCCAATTTCACAGTTGTTAATCTTATATCCAAAGAAAGAGTTTGTGATTTATGTAACAAAGAATTGGGTGACGAATTTTATTATATATTTAACTGTTTCTTTCAATGTCGAGACACAACTTTTTACCTGCAGAGATATGTTAAAGGGAATAGAAATATGTTCACCATTGGACTCCCTCCGACCGGCAGTAAAACCCTCGCCAAAGTGGGCGTCCATTTGGCTATGCGGGATGTGCAAGTACGCAGCCACGTCCGGTCAGAATGGGGACGTTAAATCCGATGCCTCGTGTAGAGAGTGCCACGCTCTTTACACGATAAGAACCCTTGCAACACTTCTTTGAGGAGTCCGTAGGTGGCCTGTAGTAAGGCTTCATTTCTATCCCTATCCACACAGGCACTTGTCTCTGAAAATTTCCCCCTATATACCTTAATATTACACAAGGCATTTAATGAAAAATGACAGGTTAGATTTAACCAAGAAATATTTTAGACTTGTCTTTTACAAATAAAAAAAAATTGTAGGTTATCTGAAAATATGGATATTGATGACAATAAATTAGTGCGAGGTCCTAACATGTTCATACAGAGCATATACAGCAAAGCTTCAAGTGTAATTCCAAATGCTAAAGAAATATACAGCCAGAACTCCATATACAAAATGCTTAAAGCCATGTTTCCAATTGTAACAAATCTAAGATAAAGAAAAATGGCATATTTAAATTGAGTGTAAAAGGGGTGAAGTTTTATTTACAGCCTGGTGAAAGTATCAGATTTGCAGATATTTACAAATTTGTTCCGCGGCAATGGAATGTTTTAGAAAATACAACCGCTACACTTACATTAGGGTATCTTTCTATTGAAAAATTCAATGGAAATTCAGTTCTTATGGAGTTGAAAATAGGTAGCGATGGACTTATTGGGCTATTTGTTGCTGGAAATGCTATTAATCTTTCTGACTTTTTCATCGGCAAAAGGATCACATTCATTTTAAAATATTTAAAGGGTCTGTTTAAAAGTACAGTTGGTCTATGTCATGGTGCTACTCTTGAAACAAATGAGTCTGATATATTTTTTTCAAGCAAAGTGTGTGTTAAAGAAATCTGCTTAACAGACACCAAGTCTAAGACTGTAACAAGACATCTAGAATGTTTGAGAACTGTCCAAATAAATTCTCTTTCTAATACTTGTACTAAATGTTCTGATTACAAGCGTTATAAAAAACATGATCAATCAAAGATGCTGTTAAATTCTGACAAGGAAAATGTAAATCCAGCAACCTAGGAAAAACCAGATGTAACTGAACAATTACGGAAAATTGCACCAAATTTAAATGAAAATCAAATTTTACTTATTGCAAGTCAAATTGAGTCTTCATCATATAAACATTCTAAAGGTGTTAGATGGCCAAAGGAAATAATATGCATGGCACTGACCATATACAACAGAAATCCTTCTGCATACAAAGACATAACAACAAATGGCTAGCTTAACTTGCCATCAGAAAGCCTTCTTTATTTATATAAAAATGCAGTAAAACAAAAACCAGGTATTATTCCTATCATGATGGCATGGATGAAAAATGAGGCTGTTAGGCTGAGGGTTGAAATAGAAGGATATTATTACTAAATGAAATGTCCGTACAAGAGGACCTTCAAATAATTAACCATGGGAATGGTCTCTCATTGTTTTGATTGGTGGATTGTGAACCTGAGAATATGTTAATGTACTATTCCAATCAAGATAAATTTGAAAGTAAATTAGCAAATCATGTAATACAGTACATATTCCATGGGATAACTGGCTTCCGTTGGCCTTTTGCTTATTACCCTAATGCACAAGTTGCACCTGCTGACATATTTATCACAACCTGGAAATGCATTGATGCCTTACACAAATGGGGTTTTAAACCCATTTACATATGTATTGACGGTTCCAGTAATAATCGTGCTTTCTTAAAAATACAGAATGATCCCCTTTGACAAGAATGGTGGCTTCACACTACAAAAACACTTAAAAAAATATGATCTTGACCCCCGCCATCTCATAAAAAAATCCGTAACAGTGTGTTATCCAGTGGAACAAAAGGGCATGACCAGAGACTATTCTCATTTGAAAGCTGTAAAATTCAATGGCAAATGTGGATTGATGCCTACAACTGGGATAGTAATACCTATATATATCCAATACACCATAAATTAACTCAGGAGCACATGTTTCCAAACAATGCTAAAAAAATGAGAAATAAGCTTGCATTTGAAACACTTAATGTTGACATGTTACATTTAATGAAAATGTACAAAAAGTCTCTTGGTGGTGAAGTTGATCAGCAGGCATTAAGTGCCGTTATCCAATTTCTTAAACACTCTAGTACTTTTGTGGAGTTTTTCATTGATCAGCGGCCTGTAAAAGATGTGAGTGATGAAAGATTATTGCAATTAAGAATTGCATATAATTGGTATAAATCATGGGAAAAACAAGTTTGTCAAAATGACACAATAAGTAGGCGATACTTCCATGGAAACAGAAGACCTTGATTTTATGTACCATGGGATAATGTCCAGACAAATGAGTCTGATATATTTTTTTCAAGCAAAGTGTGTGTTAAAGAAATCTGCTTAACAGACACCAAGTCTAAGACTGTAACAAGACATCTAGAATGTTTGAGAACTGTCCAAATAAATTCTCTTTCTAATACTTGTACTAAATGTTCTGATTACAAGCGTTATAAAAAACATGATCAATCAAAGATGCTGTTAAATTCTGACAAGGAAAATGTAAATCCAGCAACCTAGGAAAAACCAGATGTAACTGAACAATTACGGAAAATTGCACCAAATTTAAATGAAAATCAAATTTTACTTATTGCAAGTCAAATTGAGTCTTCATCATATAAACATTCTAAAGGTGTTAGATGGCCAAAGGAAATAATATGCATGGCACTGACCATATACAACAGAAATCCTTCTGCATACAAAGACATAACAACAAATGGCTAGCTTAACTTGCCATCAGAAAGCCTTCTTTATTTATATAAAAATGCAGTAAAACAAAAACCAGGTATTATTCCTATCATGATGGCATGGATGAAAAATGAGGCTGTTAGGCTGAGGGTTGAAATAGAAGGATATTATTACTAAATGAAATGTCCGTACAAGAGGACCTTCAAATAATTAACCATGGGAATGGTCTCTCATTGTTTTGATTGGTGGATTGTGAACCTGAGAATATGTTAATGTACTATTCCAATCAAGATAAATTTGAAAGTAAATTAGCAAATCATGTAATACAGTACATATTCCATGGGATAACTGGCTTCCGTTGGCCTTTTGCTTATTACCCTAATGCACAAGTTGCACCTGCTGACATATTTATCACAACCTGGAAATGCATTGATGCCTTACACAAATGGGGTTTTAAACCCATTTACATATGTATTGACGGTTCCAGTAATAATCGTGCTTTCTTAAAAATACAGAATGATCCCCTTTGACAAGAATGGTGGCTTCACACTACAAAAACACTTAAAAAAATATGATCTTGACCCCCGCCATCTCATAAAAAAATCCGTAACAGTGTGTTATCCAGTGGAACAAAAGGGCATG